CGCTGTGGACTTGATCCCTAGTCGTCCTCTTTGCCTCTGCTGTTACGCACCATAAAGTTGATTTATTTGTGAAAAGTTTTTGCAGCTTCCCCCACAAATATAGCTCAGACTCGGTCTCCCTCTGTGCCTGGCCCTTGGCTAGTTTGTTATAGGCGGAAAATTGTAAGCCTAATCCTAATGCTCTCTAATTACATTGGAGGCGCAGAGCCGCCTGTCGAGGCCTTGACTGCTGCTAACTGCTAGGCAACTGCCAACTGGCAACTGGCAACTGGCAACTGGCAACGGCAACTGCTTTTGACCACTTGTTTGTTGCCTACTTTACGGCTACTTATCACATTTTTGCTGTAGTCTGCGTTAGCTTGAATTGCCCGCGCCTAAGCCAAAGATGCGCCTAATTATTTGCCTGCTGGCCCAGTCTGTGCCAGGACTCGGGGATTATTGAACTGTTCAGCGACAAACACAATGTGATATGTCCAAGACTGAGACAACTGAAAACAGTGCGACCTACGGGCACAATTAGAGCAGGCTAAAGCAGAAAGCTACATATTCTAGAATTTAGAGCAGCTTGCCAACATAGCTAAGTACTTTCTCTCTGTGTGTGGGGCTGGCTGTTAGCTTAACGCATATGTAGCTGGGAAATGCAATTTGAAAGCTCAGAGAAAGACCAAGAAATCGTTCCCTGCGGCATTTGCAGTTGGAAATTGTCATTGGAGTTGCAGAGATAGAGAAGTCTTTGATCTATCTAAGCCCATTTTCGATGAGGTCATTGTGGCTTCAATTGAAAAATGATTAAACTGACCTTCGGCAGCTACTAAAATAGCAAGCAAAATGTCAAACAGTCTCGCTTCAGCTAAAACTCACTCTTTCTGCTGCTTGCTGGCTTGCTTTAAGCTACTTTAGTAGCTTATCAACACACGCAAGGTCTTTTGGGGCATTTGATTTACTATAGAAAATAGCCTTGACATTAAAAGAGCAGCGAGCCCCAACTTTTCAAATATATGAAGTAAATATTCCAATGAAAAACATTATTTGTGACAATGTTCGAAGCCAACGCCCATGCATTAAGCAGCAGTAGAAATGTTGGCCTTTATCGGATGCCAAACACATGACAATTTCTGCTGTCATAATAAAGTTATATATACATTATAAATAGAGTGGCAGATACATTTTAAAATATGTGCATTATCTCAATTCACATCTGAATACCCTGTAGGTATTACAGCTGGCCTGAGCGAGTGGAAGCATTTCGCAATTTATTACTGATTAGCTTAGAGAACCGAATAGATTTATGGAATTGAGTCTAGTTATTTCTGCTCGTATGAGTTCTATAATATCGTGGACTTCTTACTTATGCTTGAGAGCAAAAATGCTAAGGCAAATGCTTCAGATATGCAAGAATCCATATAGATTGAGAATATATCACGTATACGCAAAGCAGACATAATAAGATACTGATTAAATACTACAAAATAACGCGAGAAAATAGTCAAATAAAAATAAAAGTTAAGAAAAAATCAGACAAAACAAATCAAAATTCTTAATGCTTAATATTGGTACGAATAAAAATAAATATATTAAAAAAAAACCGAAAAATGTTTAAAAAAAATTTTTAAGATGTAAATTCAATTGACAAAATGGTATAAAAATAATAATAAATAATTTTAATTATAATAATGTTAATAATCATTAATATAAAATACTAAGAAATATTTAAAAAAAATATTTATCTAAATATTTTTATCTTAGACCAAAGTGGAAGCTCACATGAAAGGCAATAGAAAAGCTTCACAGGCAGAGAAGCTCGACTAGAGCTTGTTGTTTTTATTTGTTGTTAAATTTATGATGGGTACTACAAAGTGGCGACCCCAGCACACTTGACTGTCGCCACTGCTATCCACCTACTGCCCTCGGCCCCAACTTCTGTTGCCATTTCGTCGAGTGGCTGGCAAAAAGGCAAAGCCGCAGCGCAAACAGCAAGCGAAAATGGCGAGCAATAAAAATAATTGCAAATTTCGAAATTTAAGTGTAGGCGTGTCTGCTACGTTTAAAGTACGTACAGCAAGAGAGACAGGTAGAGGGAGAGAGGGCGAGGTGGTGGGAGAGAACACACCTGAACCCTGACCCCTGCTACGCTGAGTGCAAACAATGGCCAACGAGGCGAATGCTCAACGTGCTGTAAAATCAGCGCGTCGCGGTTTTTTTTTGCTGCTGCTGCTGCTGCTGCCATTATTGTTGCCATTTTTTTGTTGTCTCTGTGTGTGTGTGTGTGTGCAGCTTGTGTCTGCGTGTGGTTTACAATCTGTTTCGCAACTCACGTAAAATATAAGGTAATTTGTGGAAATTTGATGTTTATCGTAAATTGTTTTTTATTTGCGCAATGTCACCATTTGCGGTTTGCCAACACACACACACTCACACACACAGAGAGAGAGAGCGAAGCTTTTTTTTAATTGCGCCTGCAAAACAATTGGAATAAATTTTTATTTCGTTTTCAATTTACCTGCACAGCAGCCGCAGAGGCAGCGGCAGCAGCAGCGGCGGCAGCGGCAGCGGCTCGACTTCTCTTGCTTCTTCTGCGTTTTGTTGATTGGCCAGTTGCGGTTGCTGCTGTTGTTTTTGATGTTGTTGTTGCTGTTGCTGCGGTGTTGCCATAGCTAATGGTTGTTGCCATTGCTGCCTTCAAACGGCCAGCAGCTTCCGCTCGCCGCATTACGATCTTGTTCAGCGCCTTGTTCAGCTGCCGCAGCAGCACGTAGATCAGCAGCAGCAGCCAAATGGCTGCCATTTCGGAGAGAAAACTCCATTTCCTGCCCATTTCTTGTGCTACATATATATGTGTTGATATATATATATATAAATATATATATACATATATATATATAAATATATAAATATATAAATATATATGATTGTTGTTGTGTTTAGAGCCTAGAATAAAAGCGACTGCTCTGTTAGGCAGTAAAACAAACAAAAATAAATAAAACGGCAAAACAACGAGAGTTTTACATTTTCAGTTTATTCATAATAGTTATATATCTCATATTCATGTAATATCGTACGTATATATATAGTAATTACCAGCTAAGTTACAGTTAAAATTTAGTTTAAGTAAAATGCTTGGAGCGCCTGGCGACCAACATCTACGCAAATCGTATAGAGATATAGTTATGCATACATATATATGTCTATATATATATATATATATATATGTATATATGTATATATTATGTATTTATTTTGTATTTTTTATTTTTGTTTTATTTTTATAGTTTACAGAGAGAAAAAGAGAAAATTAATTGCACATCAAATTCAAATTCAAATTCTTTTTGACTTAAAGAGCTACTTACGCTGCTTTTGTTGTTGGACTATTTTTGATTTATTTGTGAATTTCTTTGTATTTTAATTTTATCTTAAAGCTAAACATATAGATTCAACTGCTTATGCTGAGTATTTCAATATGACTTACAAATATGCAAAATGAAGTCGTGTAGAAAACACTCGAAGATTTTTGTTAAGATGGAAAAAATATTGTTTTACAGCTGCTACATTTACTTTTAAGTATTGTTATAATACTAGAAGATACAATAAATAAAAAATAAACAAAAAATTATTTGAATTATTAATTGAACACTTAAAATTAAATATATATATATTTAAGTCTACATCAACATTTTTATTTTAACAAATTTAATATTTATTTGCAGATCTAACAAAAAAGTTCGAAATATTTTAAATATATTAATATATGAAAAAAAAGAACTATAGAAAAGGGTATAATAATTAAATACAAAGAATAAATAAATATACAAATTATTTGTTTAAATTATTGAAAATGCATAAGCCTGAAACATTAATTTCTGTAATTTGGCTTACAAATTTTAACGACAAAAATTTATTTTAAATGTATTAAAATTAAAAAAAAATTTTAATTAAAATAAATTATTTGCTCAAGGAATTAAAACTAATTAATTTGAGGAATTCCTTGATTTAAAAAAAAAATAGAAAAATAAATTAAGAGTAATACATAATAATAAATAAATTAATTTAATGTATTTTATTTTATTTATTGGGAACAAAAATACTTTAAATAGATAAATGTGAAAAAGCTTAAAAATATAAAATAAATAATCACATAAATAATATTAAAAAATCACTGAAAATTATTGTTGAAAATGAACCGAAACTAAAAAAGTTTATTTAAATATTAAATTAAGTGAATTAAAAATTAAATGATAGCAAAAACTGTACCTTATTTATGCATTAAAATAGTAGAAATGCATTTCTCTTTAGTTTTATTTGTGTATATTTCGCTCACTGAATTCTTAAGTATTCAAATATTTGCTATTCTACTTTTATTGGCTTTCATTTTGGATTTTTTTTATATTTTTTTTTTTTGTGTATTTACATGAATTAATCAATTAAATTGTTGCACAAACTACAATACGTGTTTTTTTTTAAGTTTCTCTTATTTATTTTGATTAATTATGTAAATATTTGAGATATATACAAAGCGCTTACAGTTATTTTGCTAATATCAAATGTATTCCGCAGCATTTTTTTTATATATTTATTTTATTTTGTTTTTTATTTAATAAATATTTTAAAATACGGTTTAAATTATTTAACATTATTGTTGCTATTATTTAACTATGCTTAATATTAAATGCATTGAAATTAAGTTGACCCGTATTTGATCATACCCTGTAGACATTAAAATATATAAGTTTTAAATGGGGTATATTAGATTTGAATTCAGAGAGAAAAGCTTGAAATGAAATAAAAATTTTGAGTTGATTAAAAAAAGAAAAATATTTTAAAAAAATTAATCACAAGTTAGTTTCATGTGGAGTACAGGGTATCCTCACTTTAAGCAGTGCTTATTTATATATGTTTTAATTTACTTCAAATATCAAAACAAATTAGTTAAAGTCAATTACAGGGTATTTTCACTTCTGTCAGCTTATTTTCGTTCGTTTTCTATATATATTCCTTCATTTTGGATTTCTTGTTGAGTATTTTATTTAGTTGTTTGATATCAAAATAAATGCCTCAATTATGCTCTTTGCTGGAATTTAAATCATTTTTTATGTCATTCACTTTTTCTGATTTTTTTTATTTGCCAAAAATAAAACTAATTTGTTTCAAGTTTTGCATGAAACGCCTTCGCAGCTTATATTTTGCACATAGTTTTTAATAGTTTAGCATTTGTATATGCAAATATATAGAAAAAACTAATTTATTATTTTTATTTTCTTTGTTGTTTTCGGTTTTTTATTTTGGTTTTTTTACAACCTATTTTGTTGCCATGAACACGAAATGAAAACTGCATTTACCTACGCCTTTTTAGTTTTGTTTTGTCATTTATTTTATTTTATTTTGTTTACAGAGTAAATGGAGAAGTGTGCTTCAAAAATTGGTTTAGAGCAATGCGTGCAAGAGCTTAGATTCGGTTAGAGGTGGGCTTTATGGCAGCGTGCACTGGAGAGCCTTTGATTGGTTTTTTGCGAGTTAATAATCCTGGCGAGCAGATGAAAAAATATAATAAATGAAATCTAATTAGCTGTGCGCATAATTCAAATTGCAGATTAGACATAATGAATAGGCAGCAAAAATACACAAATATCATATTTAAAATAATTATAATTGTGTTAGATAAATAAATATAATTAGTTCTTATGAATTTTGACAGTGTTTCGAAATGTTTTTAAATATTTTTATTAACATTTAATGCATAATGTGCATTTTTATGACATTTAATTGATTTCAATAAAAAAGCATTAAATTATAAAACAAGATATATCTATAAGTATGGCTGCATATGTAGAATATAAATGAATGTTTTTATGAAACCTAGAAAAATGCTGAAGCTTAAATGTAGCTTAAAAGTTACATTTGTCTCTTTCAATTGTATCTTTCAGCAGTACAAAGTTCATTTACCTGCCAACACTTTTAAGAAATCCTAGCTAATCGCCTATCGCATTAGTCGAGTTTGTATCTGTCGATAGTTATGTAAAGTGGAAGTGTAACTATCGAAAGATATAGTCGACGGCTGTGCGTTAGTTTTATTAAGCTATACGAGACGATTGCTATTTTCTCTTATTTTTAACTGCCTTTTAAAAACTTGCAACGCTCACAGAGTGAGGTTTGTTTTCGTATCGAAACTAACAACTATCGAAATAAAACAAATATAATCGATAGTTATATAAAACTGGCCTTGACAATGAAACTAGAAATAGGTGTGCGCCAGTCCTTAGAGTTTGATGGACTTGCTAAGATTTTCAGCTTTATATTAAGTTAGTTAGCGCATTTGAGTCAACACCAATCGAATTTTAGAGTATCTATAACTTTTTAAAATATTTATAAAACAATTATTTCTATACTCTTTGGAAGTGGACTTATTGAAAGAAATGCGCTACTTTCTCTCAACTTTATTAAGGGGCAGAAGGGAACTAGAACGCGTCACGTATTGGGCTGCAGTTAGCTTTCCTGTCCAAATGATGTCAATAACCTAAGGAACTTAAGTGCACCTATTGATTTGAAAGTATTTATGATGTCACAGTGTTTCTGGTAATAGATGTGTGGTAAGATGCACATATACAAATAGGCTTTGCCTATTGTTGATAGACAGAGTGAAACTAGTTTCACTTTTGTGCTTATAGCTCAGCTCCCAACTTTCTCTCTCAAGTGGCAAATCATTAAAAAACCTATTTTAATTGAGCTCAATATGTCATGAATGCAGCTTTAGAGTTATTTCATTTGAAATTTTTGGCAATTTGTCCAGAAAAGGATAAATAAATGAACAGCACAAGCGAAATGTGGCATCGTTTTCAGGTTTTGGCTTAATGCAAATAAATTTTGTAGCAGTTCTGTTCATGAAAATAGTAGTGTTGCAGTACATAAAATATAAACCAAATGCAAAGGTAGTTCTTTAGTTGGAAAATTGAAAAATACCCACTTTTAGTCTAGAATAAATTGCAAACGAAGAGAATTCAAAGAAAATCCAGAACTTATTTGATTTCAATAATTTGGAAGAGCTGCTTTGCAAGTCAATTGTTCATAAAAATAGTAGTGCTGGACGAGTTGAAAAAGGTAAATCACAAAAGAAAATTAAAAGAAATATTAGATTCACTATTTATGTATCTTCCTAACAAATTATTTTGTGGCTTTTGGAGAAGCTCAAGACTCAAATAGAATTTTTTTTTGGTTTTTTTTGGCCTATTAGGTTTAATGCTCCTGGTTGTGGCTTGCTATGGAAACAGTGCCTTCGATATCATCATAGTCGACTAGGAATTCCTTGTGCTTTAAGGGTTTAGGAAATAGTTTTGGACTGGCATTTGGTTGACCTAGTTAATTACGAATTTGCCAATTAGTCCGAAGAATGCGGCAAATAAATTGAAATTTGCGCTTTGATTTTGTCAACGCAATTTCGGCCCTTGAAATTAATTTACAACATTTGCGCAATCTAATTTGCGTAAAAACGGGCCCTCAACAGTAATTTGTAATTACAATTTTCGTGATTATAAACGACGACAATGCAACAATTGAAATTAGCAGTGCAATTAGTTGTTGATCATCCTTCACCCGCGCATTGTTCGACTCAATAAGCCCTTCACTCGCCCACACAGTGACACACAAAAACAAAGGCTAATGAGTGGCCTTTGCCATTTCAATAGTTTTCGTTTGTGATTTTTTATGCGTGGCATACCCTATGCAGTGGGTACATGGAATTTGCTATCTGCGAATGGCTCAGCTGCTAAGTATTGCTGTTCTTGGCTGTGTTTTAAAATATTTTAATCTTTCTTTAACTACTCCTGTTATCGTTTCTGTTATCGATACAATAGTGAGATCAAAAT